ACGGCATAACGCACATATCAACTTAAGGAATTATGATTAAATCGGCAAAGACAAACTTAAAGATAAACTGCAGATCTGACTAATAGTCTAAGCGGCAGAAATGAATGGAAAAAACGATAAAAACAACAACTGCCACAGACCTAAAAAAAGTAAATTACAACCAGAAGCAGCTTATATTGCAATGAAAATCTTACTCACATCCGTCCAATGTACATATGATGTCAATCCAACGTTACAGCACACAGACAGACCGTACCAGTCGAGACCGATAGACAAAAGCAATAACAATGCAACACCAGGGCTCGGTCATGGACAGGCTTCTTTTATGACGGATTATGAATACGGAGGGACTGGTTGCCACAAGAATGCACTTTTTTTTAACGTTTTTAAAGAAAGTGAAAACTCCAAGTTCACACTGAATTCTCTGTGTGCCTTAATCAACTTTTCCACATATTTTATCTTGTAATTTTTGTAAAAACAACAGGGCAAGAAATAAAAATATGTTTTTCAAAGGAAATAGAAAGTGGCAATTATAATTTTTTAGTTTTATGTTTAGTTTTATTAATTATTTATGTATGTAATAAAACAGTTGATATATGTTAGTACATAAAAACTGTGAGAAAAATATAGTTCCTCTGCAAATTTATTTAGTTCATTTGCGAATGTTTGTTTTTTATTTTGCATACATACTGTAGTTAAACATATATTTTAAATAAAAAATATTTTTGATTGTTCCTGTTGTTCTATCAACACATAATATTCTTTCTGTTTTTGAATATGCTGGAAAAATCAAAGTTTCTGATAATAATTTGTGTTAAGGAACTTTGTACATTTATCGGAATAATATAGCCAATTCATAAATGTAAAAAAATAGATTGTGAATGGTAAAAATTACACAAAGCTTTTTAGATTAACCGAGAGATCATTGAAAAGTTCTTTCATTCTGGACAACTTTCGAAGTCTAATCGATAAAATATGGTCCGCGATTTTAAAATATCCCTCTATTTAGTATATCATCTATATTTCTACCTAGAACATAGAACCAATCAACCAACCAATGCAAAAACAGGATGATTACTGTATGTTGTTAAATAATATCGTACATATAATGTATATAATTGATTATATATGGTATACATATTGTGCTTACTTACATAATTGTATTATGTTTAATATATAATACAATATAATATAGGTGAGATAGTTTGATATTGATAGCGGAGTAAGGTTTGCAACTTCATCATGAATCGTTTAACGCTAGAACAACGCTTCCAAATTGTGGAAATTTACTTTGGAAAAAATAAATTTTTTCGCGCAGTTTATATCGAAGAATTGTGTTTAGTGATGAAATTCATTTCTGGTTAAATGACTACGTCAATAAGCAAAATTGGCATATTTAGAGCAAAGATAATCCTCAAGCCGTTAACGAATCACTTAATATCTATTAAAATTGACTGTTTGGTGCGTTTTACACGCTGGCGGCATCACCGGTCCTTACTTCTTTCGAAATGAGGAAGAAGCTGCTGTTAGGGTGAATAGCGAGCGATAATAAGCCATGTTGACTGACTTTGTGTTTCCAAAAATTTGCCGTTTCTAAGATGGCGCAACTTACCATACAGCGCGATTAGAATTATTGCAAAATCAATTTCGTAACAACTTTATTTTCAAAAGTGTGAGATTTAACGCCTCTCGAATATTTTTTATGGGCCTATGTTAAGTCATTAGTTTATGCCGACAAATCAGCAGCTCGTGAAACATTAGAAGCTAATGTTCATACCACCATTGACGCCATACGGTCACATTTATTGTAAAAAATAATCAAAAACTGGACTGATCGAATGGGCCATGTAGGACCTCGTAGCCGAGGCGGACATAAGCGGGAAATCATGTTCAAAAAATAAATGCCATGAAATTATCTACCTATAACATATCTATCTATATTTCTGTCTTGTATAATTATTTTAAGTTCTCACGCAGCTTAAAAAAGACATCCTTTCTCTTAGATATAAATACACATACCAATAATCAATATCAAGAGATCTAGAAGATTTTATTTTGATTTAAGCTCTTATCAGCAATCTTAACAAATATTATATAAATTGTATTAGAAAAAAATTAACCAAGGCTTCCATAGTATGTACAAACCTATAAGCGTAGGTTTGTGATCCTATATTCAATCGTATAGTTATATTCTCAAATTACCCTCGAACTTTTATAGGTTATTTCGAAAATAGTTACATTAATAAAGTTTTACAAGGCCATAAATTCAAACTGCAGAGTGTGTTATTTTGAGTAGCAGTTAGTTGCTCAACTGATGGCGACATCAAGGTGTTGACAAATGAAAACAAATACTTCATAGGTATCTATGAATTGAACATACAGTCTTATCATGATTGACTTATGTGTGTTATCACGAACTCTGAGCTCATAGCTATAAATGCATTATACTAGACTGCACTTCACATATATATACATATATTTCAGTTACGGTAAGGGTGGCACCAAAAGTGGGCTATGTTTTCATGTGTTTTCTTTTTGTAATATTCAATGTCAGTAGGTATTTATGCCAATACAGAATCTACTGTTTATGCACAATGTTGTTAACAAATTTTTAACTTCAAAGTTTACATGATTTGTGCACTG